ACGCTTTGTGCATGTGAACACGTCTGCCGTCTTGAAGGTGATGAAAGTCATCCTGTGTTCATAGTCCACACAGCGGCAGAGAATCCTGGGAAGGCCTGGGGCAGGGACCTGCTGACACATTGCTGGGGTTAGCCAGCTTCCTGTCATGCTCATTCCCTTTCTTGGTTTTGCTAGCTGAGCGGGGCTCACCTCCCTGACTGGGGGTTCCGGCAGCTGGAGGTGGTTGGGGAGAAGTCACGAGGCCACCACGAGAGCATGGTGTGGAATGTGGAGGAACACCGGTATGGCAAAAGTGAGTTGGTAAAGCCCTGGGTCATGGAATTTGGTTGTCCTTGTGGATCTCGCGGCACTCAAGGGCTACCAAAACAACACTATTGGTTTGGAGGGACCTAAGCCCTCCATTCTGTTTGGCTGACTCTTGCAGTGGTCCGTGATTACATGAGGTGTCTGTGCTGAGGGCCTGGGGATGGAGGCTGGGGATGATGGCAAGTCATGCATCCCGGGGTACACAGTCCTGACTTGGCAGGGCGTTGGGGTGTGGTAGGAACCAAGTGGAATGATGCAGTCTGCTGAGGAGTCTTGTGGGTTATTGGAAACACTGAGGGCAGCCATTGTCCTCAGCGCTTCAGCCCCACTGAGTCCCTTCCCTGGTGTCCGTCCACTCAGGCCAGGAGCAGAAGGAGAGGGAACTGGAGCTGCATCTCCCCACTCAGGTTGACATCAGCAGGAACCTGAGCTTCATGGCCAGATTCTCGGAACTGCAGGTGACAAGTGGCAGGAGGGACGCCATCCTCCAGCAGAGCTGGTTTCTACCCGTGAAGGCACTGTGTGCTGCCGAGCCCTGAGGTTCAAGTCCTCCAGCCTGGAGCTTGAGGCTCTGCAGCAGAATGAGTGTCTCTCCCTTCTGCAGGCCCACAGTCAGGGACGAGGGGTTTCTGCATCAGTGTGACATTGTAATAATGTCAGGGTGTCTTAAGGCCTCCCATCAGGTCAGTTGGGTTACAGTCAACCCGCAGAGCCCTGGATAAGTCTGACAGACTCAGAGTTGACGGCATGGCTCCTGTCACCGTCTGCAGAGCAAGTGTGGTCATCCATGAAGTCAGGGCATGGCCCGGAGCCCATGGCTCTCTAGCACTTAGATGAACTTAGTCTGGGCAGTTGACACACAAGGGACAGTAGTTGAGTCACACACACCTGGACATTGTGGCAGCTGGAGGCGAGGTCCTCCTCTGCAACCTGTGCTTTCTCCTGTGGTAGTGGAAGATGCTGACGCTGAAGAACGAGGATTCAGAACACAAGTACAGCTCCACCCCGCTGGAGTGGGTCACCCTGGACACCAACATCGCCTACTGGCTACATCCCAGGACCAGTGTAAGCGAGCATGTGTGAGCCCCGGTCACGTTCCTGGAGGAGGTGCCCTGGCTTTCTCCAAAGCGAAGGCTCAGAATTCGCTTTTTTTTTTTTTTTTTATTTTGGCCATTGGGCAGTCCAAGGCCTGAACTACTCATTGCCAAAGAGCAAGGCCTCCCTCTCAGGTGGTCTGTTGAGGGAATCCATGATTAGCCTTCGTGGAAGCCCACTTCATTTCCTGTCAGATGCTTTCAGTATTTCCCTACGGCACCTGACCACTAAGCTGGCCAGTGCTGGCTGGGTTATGTTGTGTGTGTGATGGATGCTGGCTGTGTATGTATGTTATGTGTGTATGTTATGTGATGTATGTTATGCCGCCTCTGCCATGGCAGACTGGAAGCAGCATAGAGAGGCATGGAGGCAGAGCTGGGCAGATCACTGAGTGAGTAATGCTGACTTCCCCAGCACGCTTGTTCAGTGGAATTGAGGGCAGTCACCAGAAAGTGAGGGCACGTGGAGCAAGTCCCAGGGCTCCCCCACAGCTGTGTGTGTACACAGATTCTCTTTCCCGGGTATGACCTTCCTATGAGTAACTGTGTTGTTGAATGAGGAATCCCAATCCAGGCATGGTGGCACACATTTTTTTTCTTTTTAAGAACTATTTATTTGGTATACAATGTTCTGCCTGCAGGTCAGAAGAGGGCACCAGATCTCATTACAGATGGTTGTGAGCTACCATGTGGTTGCTGGGAATTGAACTCTCAAGACCTTTGGAAGAGCAGCCAGTGCTGTTAACCTCTGAGCATCTCTCCAGCCCGGTGGCACACATTTAAGACAGGGATTATATATTTGAGGCCAGGCTGGGCTGCCTAGGAAACAGTCTTGGATGAACTGGGGTTGTGGGTAAATCTCAGTGACAATGTGAATACACAGAGCTCCGGGTTCACGCCCAATATCCCAAATCTCCATTACTCCTAATTTTCAGTTTTGACAAACAGGATTTAAGAACATTAATGCATGTCTTAAAAAGTGGCTGGGGCTGGGCAGTGGTGGTGCACACCTTTAATCCCACCACTCGGGAGGCAGAGGCAGGCAGATCTCTGTGAGTTTGAGGCCAGCCTGGTCTACAAAGTGAGTTCCAGGAAAGGCACAAAGCTACACAGAGAAACCCTGTCTCGAAAAAAAAGAAAAGTGGCTGGGAACAAGTTTGTCCAGATGTGTCTAGGCTAGAGTTCCAGATGTGCCTGTGTACCTTTGGACTGCTGAAGTATGTTTGGTTTCTCTTGTGACCATTGCCCTCCACTTGGGGTGAGGGGGCAGGTAGCGAGCAGCTCCCTGTGATTTCAGGCTCAGATCCACTTACTTGGAAACATCGTGATCTGGACTTCAGCGAGCCTTGCCACAGTGGCCTACACCCTACTCTTCTTCTGGTACCTGCTCCGCCGGCGGAGGAGCATCTGTGACCTCCCTGAGGGTTAGTGTCCTCACAGGACGGGAGCACATTATGCATAGGTGACAGCCAGCTTTACTAGGACCCAAGACCCTGGAGCCCCTGGTTTTGCAGGTAGGGGCCCTGAAAACAAACCTGTGGCAGTTAAGATCCACACCACACTTGAGTCTTCTTTAGCAGAGAGCACACAGGGGACAGAGGCTATCTTGGTTGCCTGCATGCACCAGACACGCTGGATGAGGCCCAGCAGTCAGTCAGCAGGAGGCTTAGGGGTCAGTGGTTGTACGCAGCTGACAGAAATGCATTCGGAAAGAAAACTCAAGCACTGGCCCACCATCGCCCTGTAACCTCCATCCCAGAAAACATGGTCCCTTCTTTCTACTGGCTTTGGCTACAGTTCTGGGCTGGTCACAAATGTAGCTCCTTATAGCTCCCTGAGGAGCTGAGAGCAGAATTCTCAGATGAGAGCAGCCTGTCCTTACACTGGCCATGAGGGGACCTCGCAGGGCTGGGCTGGGCCTCACCCTGAGCCTGGGCCTTGCAGACCCAGGAGCAGCAGCAGGGTCGTCCATCAGTCCACTTAGTCCTGGGGCTGGGGGAGTGAGGTGCTGAGGACAGCATGTGACTGGAATGAGCTCATGGCTAGCTCAGTGGTAGTGCTGCTCTGAGATACACCCTCCCACAGATGCCTGGTCCCACTGGGTGCTAGCTGGAGCCCTGTGTACTGGCGGCTGGGCGCTCAACTACCTGCCCTTCTTCCTGATGGAGAGGATGCTCTTTCTCTACCACTACCTGCCAGCACTCACCTTCCAGATCCTGCTGCTTCCGATCGTCCTGCAGCACATCAGTGACCACCTGTGCAGGTGCGGGCACAGTGGACCTTAGGGCCGTGAAACTGGGGAGAGGCTTAACCACCTGTGGACCAGCATTCCAGGACAGCGGCCGCTCGCTGCCCAGACTTGGTGGGATGTGGCAGAGAGAAAGCTTTGGGTTAACGTGGCATGGTGGCGCCCACATTTAATCCCAGCCCTCGGGAGACAGAGGCAGGCAGGTCTCTTGTAAGTTCGAGGACAGCCTGGTGAGTTCCAGGACAGCCAGGGCTGATACACAGAGAAACTCTGTCTCAGAAAAGAAAAAAGAAAGCTTTGTGTTGGAGCAGAGGGCCTTGATGTGGAGGGCATGGGAAACACCTCTGGCATTGGGGGTAGAGCCGTGGCAGATCCAGGAGCAGGATGAGGGTCATGTGCAATGTATCCAGGCAGATAAGGGTTGGTGGGGGCACAGAGAAGCAGGGGAGATCTAAGGAATGAACAGGTAAAGTCCACGAGTGTGTCAGCAGGTTCCTGGGACATGGCTGGCCACGGATGCTGTGGGGAGGCAAGCCAGATGCTCTGACCTCACTCTCCCTGTTGCCCACAGGTCCCAGCTGCAGAAGAATGTCTTCAGTGCCCTGGTTGTAGCCTGGTATTCCTCTGCATGCCATGTGTCCAACATGCTTCGTCCACTAACCTATGGAGACACGTCACTCTCACCAGTAGAACTTCGAGCCCTTCGCTGGAAAGACAGCTGGGACATTCTGATCCGGAATTACTAGCTAACAAGAGCGCGGAAGACAAGCATGCAGAACAGGATCTAAAGAATGTGTTTGTCTCCCACCAGCAGAGGCCTCAGCAGTCAGGGACTGGCTGGGTCCAGGAAGGACTCCAGGGATTAATTACGATTTCTCCTGAAGAGCCACTGGTTTCTCATTTGAGTGATTTAGTCCTCTTCACACAGTGAAGACCATGCCCACAGCATCACCCATGAGGCCCACCTCTGACCAGCCAGTGTTTGAGCTGCCAGCGTAGGAACCACCAAGGCAGGCAGGAGCACCCGGCCAGGGAAGGAGTGGACAGGACTCCTGTGATGAGCCTGAGCGTGCCACCAGCTGTGGGGCACCAATGGGGTCTTGGCCCTGCCTTTCACAAGACCTGCAGTCACCCCAAACAACCTACTGCAGGCACAGCTGACCTGTGTAAAGCCTACTTGGAAATCTGACAGTGCATTAACACCAAGACTCCTCATGATCTGTATTTTAAAAACCCCTTCTGGGAAATTTCACCAAACGTCTTCACTTGTCTTCCTGCCAAGATGTCATCCATACACTTCCTTGCCTTGAATTTGCCTTTCCTAATGTAAATAAAAAGGAACAAATTGATAATCGTTTTTTAGTGTTATTTATTGATCCTTCCTCCAAAGAGGGGTTTCAGTTCAACAAAACCAGCACAGCACTGTCATGAGTGGGACCACGGTTGTATTTAACAAGAACACATTAGAAGTGTCTGTGCCAAAGCCTGTGACAACAGCAAAGGACACTTCCAAAAGGGCCATCCCGTGGGAGGGGAGACAAACTTGACATCATAGAATGGACCGTTTGTGAAGCCATGAGCTCAGGTTGGGTGTGCAGGAGACTGGCTGGCTTTAGGCAACCACGGTCATGTGACCTGCTCTGCACTTAGTGCTCCCCTACCTGCCCTGGCATGCTCACCATGAACTATACCCAAGTGGCTTGTACAGACAGCCCCTGGGGCTTGGGCTCCCTGCAGAATTGCGAGGACACTTTTAGCCATAGGAAACCTGATGGCCTGCTTCCATTTATCCCACAATCCAGGCCCCAGGATACCCAGGAGTTCCTTGCATCAAGTGTGATGCTGCTTAGGGTCACGTGAGTAGACAGACTTAGGGTTCCTTCCTGCCTCAGGCTCCTTAGACTGGAGGATAGACCACTTGGAGGTGTTAAACTAGGTTCATTGGTCACAAACAGCCTGCCACAAAACAAATAAGGATATATAACGTATCTTCAAACTTGACTTCCGCAACATGTACATGAACCACAGCATACTGAGAAGCACATCACTGTGGTTCACTATCAACGCCAGGCCAGCAAGGCCAGCCAGTACCGGGGCTATTTCCTCAGTTGCCCCATAATGTATGACCTGCATCCCTCTGGAAGCTGGCACCATGGGCTTTCTTTGCAGTTTGGGACATTTCTCAGCGACCCAGATACCTGTTGGCCTCCTCCAATGAGAGGAAGCAGAGGACACCGGAATGCTCTGTCAGCATGAATCTGCCCTCCCAAGCAAGGAAGGCCTTGGTCCTAAATGCTGCCACCCTAGATCACGCTGAGAGGAACCCCTGACTGTGCTTTTAAGGGCAAGTGGTTGTCCCCAGGCTCAGACCCTTAACCATGGGTCTGTGGGGAACCTACATATGCCGGTCTCAGTGGGGCCTGCTGCTGGACTCCAAGTGTGAGCGCTTGCCAGTGGCCAGCACCCCAGGGTGATCTCCTGGCTCGGGGAAGGTCCTCTTGTAGTTGCGCCCATTGGGCCCTCCTCGGTGCCGCTTGCACAGGTCACCGTTGAGAATGTCCTGGATGTGCTGGACGATCAGGTTGATGGCGACTGCAATGAGACATGGGAAGTGCTCATCACATTCACTCCTGGAGCCCTTGCGGCCTGCCCTCACTCCTGTACTCAGCAAAACACTCAGCATGCAGGAAAGCCACTGTGCCTTCCTGCCTCCCAGTGGTCCCCACTGCCTGCTGCCTGCTGCCTCAGTGGACAGAAGGCACACAACTGGACAGGTACAGCAGACCTCCTGGCTTCTGCTGTTGACTGAGCCTGACAAAAACACATCCCGGTGGCCAGACAGGCCCTGCCCAGCAGCTCTGGGTGTTCGGAAGTACAGACCCCATGTCCCAGATGAACACTGACAGGCCCTGCCCAGCAGCTCTGGGTGTTCGGAAAGTACAGACCCCATGTCCCAGATGAACGCTGACAGGCCCCATGCACATACTTGGGAAGCCTTCGTAGCCAAGGCAAGTGGCGGGCGGCAGTCTGCTTGGGCATAGGGCTGGGGGTTGCTTACCCATGTTGTCAACCCCTCGAGGGATGATCACATCAGCATACTTCTTGGTCTGAAAGACACAGAGGGGTCTCCTGAGGCTGTTTCCTCCAGGGTGACTTTAAGGTACTCATGAAAGCCTGGGTGTTGGTAGCACCGGCAGGTTGGAGACAGCCTTATACAAGTGCGAGATGGGGTCTGAACAGTGAGGCCGAAGATTAAGCTGGAGTGAACTTGCACATCAGCGCCCCCACTGTTTGCCTAGTCTCAGCTTACTTGCTGGCCTAGGTAGGTGTGACGCCTCCCACAGCTCTTGGCCTCTGAAATTGGGACTGAAGTCTGCAAATATCCTACCTATAAGAGTGAGTGTGACAGACAAGAGATGTGCCATGCGCAGGCCTCTTAGGCGGCCCTGCACGGTATGGAGACATGCATGGCCCCTGGCCCCTGCATTCTCTCACTACTGATTTGTTCTAATGCCAGAGACACTCCAGCAGACACCACTGAGGAAAGCAGAGGGAGAGATGTGGCTGAGGGGACACAGCTGAACCAGGCAAAGCCCAGAGGGTGAGGTACACTCTTGACCCAGGTTGATACTGCCAACCTGTGTGTTTGGGTCAAGGAGGCCTGTCCCCTGCAGCAGATAGGTTTCAGAAGGCAGCAGAGACCCTTGCCATGAAAGGGAAGAGCAGACCTTGGCTGGGAGCCACTCTGGCAGTACCAGAGTTGGTGAGGTGAAGAGGGGCTGAAACCCACTCCCCTTCCCCAGCAGGCTGGGAAACTCAAGAGGGGCTGGCTGGCATGAGGGGAGGAAACCCTGGGGAGGTCAGCAGCACATGGACAGGGAAGGGAGGTGATGGGCTGCTCAGGAGGCGGTCAGATGCAGGCCTCAGGGTTTCGCTGCCTGCTCAGCACTTACTCAGCAAAAGCCCATGAGTCGAGACTGCAAGAGTCTGCACTTCACATATTCCCACTTTCCAGGAACTTCAGAGAGCATGAGTATTCAAGAAGAAGCTCTTTTAGCCAGGGGTGGTAGTACACCGTAATCCCAGCACCCAGAAGGGGCTCTTTTGGTAGCAGCAAATGGAACTTATTTATCCTGTTCTTGATAGTTCTGCTTTCTTTACTTTTGGGGCTGGGGGCAGTCTCTCCATTTCTGAGGCATGTGGTGGGACTGTCTCTCCATTTATCTCTGTCTGGCCTGGAATGTACTATGTACACCAAGCTGGCCTTGAACACATAGAGATCTCCTGCCTCTGAGCTCTGGGATTAAAAGCATGCACAACCATGCCTGGCCTTTATTCTCACCTTCAAGTGATAAAATACTGGGGGCCGAAGAGATGCTCAGCAGTTAAGAGCAATTGCGCTCTTACAGAGGACTCAGTTCCGTTCCCAGCACCCACATCAGGCGGCTAGCTCACAACCGCCTGTGACTCCAGTTCCAGGGATCCCACTCTCTCTCCGGGCTTCCATGAACATACACATGCACCACACACACATACACACACACAAATACATTTTTTTAAAGAGGCAAAACACTATTAATAAGCTTCTCTTTAAAACACTTCAATTTGACACTGAGCATGATGGCTCACACTTAAAATCCCGGCACTCAGGAAACTAAACGTAGAAGCCTGCCATGAGATCAGGGCCAGCCAGCGCTACAACCCTCAGCTCCCCACCACCTTACTCCCTCTCTGAATCGGATAAAGCCACAAATTCACCTCTAACTCCAGAAATACAAGATGAGTCATCAGGGATCTTAGCATCTGGTCCACAGCAGCCCAAAGGACAGTTAAAGCACCCCACAGCTATTTCAGGCAGTGAACAGTCAAAGGTCCTCACAGAGCGGCTCCAAGGGGAGTGAGCAAGGCACAGGCCAGGCTTTGAGGGGAACAGCCAGGGTCTAGCCCGAGGCAAATAGGCAAACGGTGCAGACAGGGAGAGGTGGGCAGAGCTGAGACCCATTTTCATTTGTGAACGGATGGAAGCAATACCGGCAGGCAGAACTCCTCAAAGGCTGGCTTCACGAAGGTGGTGTACTGGGTCAGGATCTGCTCCAGGTCCCTCCCTCGGTGCACATCCCGGAGAACTGCAGCAACAGGAGCAAGGCGCCACCGTAAGCCCTCCCTGGGACCCCTGGGGCACCCGAGCGCAGTCAGGGACCTGCAGGCCCTTACCTCTTCGAGACAGCCTAACATCAGAGTCTGTGTCTACAAAGAGGCGCAGGTGGAACATGTCCCGGATCTCCTGAGTGTAGAATACCAAGATGCCCTCGAACAGAACCACGTCAGCTGGGTAGACCACCGTGGTCTCTGACAACCTGCCAGGGAGAGGCTCACTTTAGCAACAAGGGCCCTGACTACAGGATAGTCCACAGAAACGGGGTGGAATCCCCCAGGACAGTGTGTAGACCGTCCTCTCTCACTGGCTCCCGGGAACTACTTGCTTACCTTGAGTGGGTCACAAAATCATAGGTGGGGACCTCGACAGTTTTGCCTTCCACAATGTTTTTCAGAGTCTTGTGCATCAGATCATTATCAAAAGCATCTACAAAACAGCAAAAGGCCAGACTACCCAGCTGCCCTGGTGGAGCAGCCGGGAGAGAACCGCCTCTGCCCAGAGTCAGCACAGCTGGGAGCCAGGGCAGCTCAGGACCCCACAACACATCACAGGGTCAAGGGTAAAATCGTCCCAACAGGAACTGGGACAGACTTTCTGACTGGCTAGCACTGGGGAGAAGAGAGGTGACTTGGGCCTCTGCTCCTCTGTGTCTGGGAAGAGCCAGTTAAAAGTTGTTCTCTGACCTTCTTGTGTCCCTAGAAAAGCTGAAACTTTCTAGGCACCCTCAGACCAGGAAACAGCTCCAAGGCCTGGGCACCAGGTTAGCCTTTCCTCCTACTACCAGCCTCTCTGAAGACTGCACCTAGACAGTTGGGGAATCCATAGGTCACCCAGGCAGTAGGGTGTGCAAAGAACCCCTTAGCAGCAAGGTGCAGGGAGAGGATGTCAACACATCGTCAAGTGATCCTGAAGACACCTCTGCTACCTCCTTCCAAGTGAACTAGACAGTCTTGAATGCTCCAGGCCCACAGCACTTAGCAAATCCTCCTAACCTAATATGGGTAAAGGCTTCATGAAGCCTCACTGCTTCTGCTTCCAATACCATCCCCACCTCGGCAGTTGGTATCAGCAGTTCTCCTGTACAACCTTGGTAACCCTGCATGCTACATACACACTCCTGTACAGCCTCCCGTGGCAGTCTGCACCCAGCAAACAGCTCGGAGAGCCCCTGACCTGGCGGCCTGCATCCCAGTCACCTCCTACAGCCCTGGTCCAGCAGTCTGCATCCACACGCACCCCTGGATCTGTCCGGCAGTCTGCGATCGCTGTAGAGCCCACGTCGTAGCAGTCCACCCCCCACCCCACCTCTCCAGGCAGGCTGTCTGCACGTACCTGGGTGGTCGAAATTGTACTGTCCCTTCAAGGCCTTGGCCTTCTGCTCGGCCGTCAGGACCTTATAGAAGCAGTCCTGGCTCAGGATGACCAACTTGCGCTGCCGCCGGTCCACTTCGTTCTGTCCCAGCAGCTCCATGATCTTCTCGCACACTGTTGACTGGGGACAGAAAGTGCCGGAAGTGGGCTTGTGCAGTGACCCACCAGGCCCTGGGGGCGGCCCCTTGGCTGCTAGCAACAGGTGACACGGCCGGGCGGGAGGCGATGGCGCCCCAACCCGCGGCCCGTCAGTCCCTCCGCGAGGCCCGGGCGCAGGCCACTCACCTTGCCGCTAGCGGTGCCGCCGCTCACGCCGATGAGGAACGGCCGCGGCTGGGGACGATCGGCCTCGGGCGCGGCGCTCTCGCAGCCGCCGCCTCCCGCCGTGGCCATGTCGGGATCCCCTGCCCTACATCCACTGACTCTGCCCGCTCCCGCCGGGACGCAGGGGCAAACGCCGTGCGCACCGCTTCCGGGAACCAGCACGCATGCGCGCAGGGGGCGGGGCACTCTGGGCAAAGGCCTGGAAGCGCCTAGGTGACTCCGGAGTGACCCCGGTACCTGGAGGCGGGGCCTGGATGGGGCTCCACCCCCGCGACATGTACTCTCTCAAGGTTTTTTTGGGGGGTGGGAGGGGGCGTGCTTTTTGTTGGTTGGTTGGTTTTTCGAGACAGGGTTTCTCTGTGTAGCCCTGGCTGTCCTGGAACTCGCTCTCTAGACCAGGCTGGCCTCGAACTCACAGCGATCTGTATGCCTCTGCCTCCCAAATGCTGGGATAGAAGGCGTGCGCCACCACTGCCTGGCTCAAATTTCATCTGCTGGGCCAGGCCACAATCTCCAGGCCACACACCTGTAACCACCCCCATTTTCCCAGCACAGCCAGGACCCTGTCACCCATATACCTAGGGCCTTCCCTGCTTGGATCGCCAGTGCCCCCTGCCACAGGTACCCCTCCTCAGCAGCTCTCAAGGTGGGAACATATCATCCTGAGAAATGTAGTAAGACCTATCACTTCCTGGTGCATTGTTTAAGTATTCTAAGACTCTGTGAAGGGTCTGGAGAGATGGCTCAGCGGTTAAGAGCACTGGCTGCTCTTCCAGGAGACCTGGGTTCAATTCCCAGCACCCACAAGGCAGCTCACAGCTGTCTGTAACTCCAGTTCCAGGGGATCTGACACCTTCACACAGACATACATGCAGGTGAAACACCAATGCACATAAAATAAAATAATTTGAAAAAAAAGAATCTGTTAAAATCTCTTCATTTTTAGACAGAATCTTGCCACATAGCAGTGGCTGCCTGGTACTAGGAAGCCCAGACTAGCCTCAAACTTGAGCCAGGCAATTTCTGCCTCAGCCAACTGAGCGTGGAAATGACGAGCTTGCACCACCATGCCTGGCTTTTTAAAATTAAACATAATAATTTTAATTATGTGTACATGCACACACACACACACACACACACACACGCACACGCACACGCACACGCACACGCACACGCACACGCACACGCACCACTGCAGGGCCTGGGGAGGGTAAGTTTCTCAGAGAGCTGGAGTTACAGGCAGTTATGAGCTCTGCCCATTATAGACGCTGGGAACTGAACTCTGGTCCTCTGCAAGAGCTGGACACACTCTTTTAAAACATTATTATTATTGTTGTTGTTGTTGTTGATGATGTTTCCAGACAGGGTTTCTCTGTGTAGCACTGGCTGTCCTGAAACTTGCTCTATAGACCAGGCTGGCTCACAGAGATCCTCCTGCCTCTGTTTCCCAAGTGTTGGGATTAAAGGCGTGCACCATCACTGCCCGGCCTTTTATTTTATGTGTATGGGTGTTTTACCTGCATATGTTTGTGTACTACTTTCGTGGAGTTCCCACAGAGGCTAGAAGAAGGGTATTGGATCCCCTGGGACTGGAGTTTCAGAGAATTGTAAGCTACCAATGGGTACTGGGAATTGAACCTAGGTCCTCTGGAAGAGCGGTTTCCAAAGCTCCCACACCTGGCTTTTAAATTCCTTCTTGTTGTTGTTTTGCTTTGTTTGAGACAATGCCTCACTATGTAGCTCTGGATGGCCTGGAACTTGAAGTGTAGACCAAAGTAGCTCTGAACTCACAGAGACCTCCTGCTTCTGCCTCCCGAGTGCTGGGATTGAAGGTATGCACCACCATGCCTGGCTTTAAATTCTTATTATAAGCATTGCTCCTGAAGTTCATTTACTGTGAATAATTAAGGTGTTGGAAGATGGGGTAACTCAATTAGCTGGAAGCTGCTGGCTCAGCTTTGCTGGCTGTCTTAAGCAAAGGTTCTGGCAGTCCAACAGCCAACTCAACTACATTTATGCCAGCACTAACTTTTTTAACACTTGGCAGAGGCCTTAAGAAGGCTAACCAGTGAGCAGAGCTCCTGAAGGCACAGCATCAGCCAGGGCTGTTTGGTCTGTAACGGACTTTTCCGTCATAAGCCTCTGTAAACTCTAGATGACGGCCACCATTCCACCTAGGCCAAAGCGGGAGCTGGACCAGCATCCGTAAACTCATCACCCAAGCAAGCCTAGGAGGAAAGCATGGGAGAAAAGGATAGCCCATCTCTGAGGAACAGGGTCAAACAGGCTGCTGGGAGTCAGGGAAGGGACACTGAGAGACTCAAGGCTGAATAGAGCCACCATGCCACCCAGCTGTCCCTCGGGTCCACGTCTACTTCCAGTTTGCAGGCAGTGAGACCCTGCTCTGTTCCCGCCCTACAGCCCTCTCCCGCCTCCTTAACCTTTGACTTTCTCTAAGGACATACCTCACCTAGCCTGAGGGGCTCTAACTCAGCCTCCTGGGAGATGGACCCGCCTCCATGATCTGACTGCATGTCTTTGCCTCTCTTCAGTCCACCTGCAGCCAGACTCGGCCGTCTCCCCTGCAGTGCCCCTCTGTTTACATTAGCCTCTTCACTACTTCACAAACCCAAGTACCCAGTGGTCTTCGCTGTTTTCCCTCTGTTCTTTCTTCCCACTCATCATCAGTAATTAACACATCAGTAATTAACTCACCAACTCTCGGTCTCTCTCTGCTCCCTGGTTAGTGCTTGAGGCGGGGATTATTTTTTATTTGACTAGTACTGGGTCTTCACAGAAGGCCACCTGGATGGTGACTGTTACTGCGGACAGTATTCTACTTTCGGGGAGTCCTGGGAATTGGGTCCGATGCCCTGAACATCAATCTGACCAAGGAAGATGACATTATGACCCTACTGCAACCTAGTCTGTCTTGAACACTGCAAACATTTCCACTTCATGAAGAAAGGGAAATAAAATTTGAAAAAAAAATTCTACCAATAATGCTGGCTGCCCAAGTCCCCATAAAGAACACAAGAAACACTAAAAATCAAGACTGTGTTTCTCCCCCAAATACCAATCCCATCATAATGGCCTACAAGGACAGTGACTTAGGAGAGATTCCAGACAAAGAATTAAAAAGAATGACTATAAATATGCTGAAAGAAATAAAAATTAACTCCCAAATGAGTGCTAAGAGAACACAAATAGCTATATGAAACACAGAAGTCAATATAGGATATGAAAATGGAATTCTACACAGAGAAATACTGAAGCAAAACCCAATTGAAATGCTGGAAATGAGAAATTCATGAAGTCCAGTTGAACTGAGTCACAATAGAATGGACCATGTGGAGGACAGACTACCTGGGCCTGAAAAACAACATGGACCATTGGGACATTCTGTCAAGAAAAAATATTAAGTGTACAAATGGAACATACTAGATCTTTGGGGCTCTATGAAAAAAACAAAAACCTATGAATTGTGGGCATAGAAGGAGAAGAACTTCATGCCAAAGGATAAGAAACATTTTCAATAAACTCATGGCAAAACCATGGGTCAAAAGGAAACACTTGGAGCTTTTATCAGTTGCTTGTTCGTGTTACGTCACAGTTTGCACGGGTTGAGCATGTGGATTTTATAATGAAAGTAGAAGAAAGAAGACTCTCCTCCCCACAGTGAATAGATTTTTAATTGTTCTTTACAAAGATCTGTTTTAATGAGGAAATAGATTCTGTCAAATCAAGGAAAAATAACTGCTCACCAGTTGCTTGTTAGTGTCTCTGGGCTCAGCAATGGTAATCTCTACTTGAAGAAAGGTGTGTGTGTGTGTGTGTGTGTGTGTGAGGGGGGGGGATTGATCGATGATTTCTATCTGTGTACTCATGGAGTATTGCCTGGAATGAATCACTCTGTTGTTCGGGTACCACTTGGCATGAAAAGGAAGCTCAGGTACAGCCCCTCAGACAAGTGAAAATCAGAGGATTCTCAAGCAGCCACCAATAGGCCTCCCTTGGAAGAACTAGGCAAGGTAAGATAGATGGCTGCCTGCAGAAGACAGCATCGGAAGATGGGGCTCCCAGTAGCTTACCCAAGTCTCAGTTTCCTCCAAACACCAAAACAGCTGCTCCGTGACTAGGACTGCTACTAGCAGTGTGCACTTTAAGTAACTAGGTGTTGGAGTACTGCAGTCTCTGAAACAGACTGGCTTGGGTAGGACCACTGATGATGATTTTACAAATTATGTGAAGCTAACATCCCATTTACTGGTTTGCAGTGATTGACGTAGTTATTAATATTTGAACTGACCCAGAATGGCACTTGAGACCAGACTCATCACTCTTCTGTGACCCCTGTTCCCCAGGGGCTCAGAGCAGGCCCCAGTGGGCTGTGCCAGACAGGGCTACCTGGTGGGTGCAGAGTCCCTCTAGTGGCCATTTCTGTTGGTAATTGATGATACAGAGCAAGTTCTCTTAGGCTTAAATTGACTGGAGACTTTGGGGTAAACAGATGAGGTGCTCTGTCCAGAAGAGTCCGACTGGCATTTGTGGTAGTGTTTGAAATGTAAATGTATTCTTGTGTGTCCCTGTAAATATTTAATACATGTCTCTCAAATGTCCTTTGAAGTGGGAGGGGATCAACCTTGGGATAATTTCAAATGGAACAGAGTATTTTGATATGTTCATCAAGAGGGTGATGTGTACACACCTATATTGTATAGATGTGGTGACATGCACTGGCTTTTGTGCAGAAACAACCTGCCCTCTGTGCTGCAGTTGGACAGTCAGTGTTTTAATGTTTCTACAGTCTTCCTATTGCACGATTTCATATTCTGCTGATGGTGAGTGGCACCCATTCTTTGTAACCATTTAGTGCTGTAAAGAAATATTCCAAGTGTCATTAGGATCGTCGCTGCCAGAACTGATATGCATGGATGGCACTTAAAATAAATATATTATGATAACTGTAAAAAAACAAAATAAAAAAACCCCCACATTGGTCAAATCCCCATCCAGGTCTAAGAGGCATTTAGAACACAAATAGACAAGACTGAAAAAAAAAAAAACAAACAAACTTCCCTCATCAAGTTATCGTGAAAACACTACATATACAGAATAAAATATATTGAACTGCAAAGAAGTCACATACAAATGTAGCCCCTGAGA